TTTGCCATTAATTTTAACTGAATATACTTAGAAAGATAACTCATGGGGTATATAATATATTCCAAGTCAAATGTAAATAATTTGGAGATCATCCTTAAAAAGAAAAATCTATTCACTGGTTGCCCTCAGTGAGGTCCTCAACACTCCACCTTGATGGCCTCCATATCTTTTTAACAGACTGTGGTCCCTTTACACTGGTGGCCTCAGTAAGCCATGTCTTCTAGTATTCATACCCTGTGTAGTTCCCTCCCCTTATTCTGGTCTTGTAATTTGACTAAGTCAATAAAATGGGCCAGAAGACTAGGCGTCTCATTCTCAACTTAAGCCTCAAGGCTGGCAGTTTCCATCTTTGCACTGTTGGAAGCCCTAAAGAGCCATGTGAGAATTCTGGCTACTCCAGTAGAAGGACCATGTTGGAGAGGGGGAGTCCTGCTGCCCCTGCTCTCTAGCTGGGATGGCTTTGCCTACACATCAGTTCAATGCAGGCACAGGAATGCCACTTACATGTCCAACACAACCCCAGTTACCTTGTAGAATTTTGAGCAAAAAAGTGACTGTTGTTTTTAACCATTAAATCTTGAGATGGCTTGTACATAATAATAGATAAAGCACTAATTTCATTAAATCTTACAGAGCTCCTTTTTAAGGTTTCTGAGTGGAATTTTCTTCTTGTCCCATTTGCCACACTATTCTCTGCTCTGAAGTATTAACAAGTCAGGGTTGTCATATATAGTTATAAGGGTTGTGCACAGTACCAGGGCACCTGCCAAGGCAGTCAATGTAGACTCCTTACCTGTCCTTTGCCTTGAGGGGACATTTTTTATAAATTGCATAAATATGCTTAATTGTCTCCCAGAGCTCTTACAAAAAGTATTCAGTTCAATCAAATCCAAAGTGTTTATCTGTCTTCTAAGCTTCCTTTAACTAATTGCCTGATGCCACCTTTGCTTCCCTTCCAACTCTCTCCAACCCAGTCTCTCATTACAGATCTCCAGTCTTGGCCCAGTGAGGTTATTCTTTCCCACCCACAGAAGCGTCCATTCTTCCTTCCAATCAGCAGCAGTTCTTAAACTGGGCATGTGTTTTCTAAAGAAGGATACAAATGAAGCCATCAGGGTTCTGTATACTCAGGCACCAGGACAATTTAGTCTAATAAACCTCAGATGATCTGATATTTTCTTACAGGTACATTTGTGCATGTGGGTGGGTGGATTTCCAAGGGTGTTAAAATAAGAAGGTGGGGGCTAAACCATCTGTTATTCTATTTTCAGTCTCTAGATATGGATGGCAAAGCCCATGGTATGTGAGTTACTCTGCCCCAGGGAGGCTGTGCTTTATTAAACAAAGGTACAAAGACATAAGACACTGTGCTTGAGCCAGGGAAACTGGTCTATAAGGGAAATTCTTTTCCTCACAATTCATAGCACAACCAGAAAGCAAAATGCTCCAATATGCTGTGCAAATGGACCAACATGACATGAAATACATGTTGTCGAATTTTGTAATCTTATTCTTCATTAAATATTCAACACAGAAAATTTGATCTCTCCCTTTTCTCTTTTCTCCCTTCTTTCTCTATATTCCCTCCTCCATCATGCCCCTTCTCCATCTTACCTGCCTTCTTGGAAATGATGACTCAGAGTTGTTTTCCTGTCAAGGACACAGCCAACAGGATTTCTAGATGCAGATGACTGCACAGATTGTTTTCTTTGACTCTAGATTATTTACGGTTAGTACAGGTGTGGCCTAGTGGGTCTGAAGGCAGAACTACCTTGAGATGGGTGTCCTTCTGAGACTACCCCAGGTTATACCACAATAATAGTCAATGTGCCATTGTGAGGGAGAGAAATAATTACATTCTCACTTGATTTCATGCTGGAAGGAATTGAAATGCCTGGCCATGTGCCCTCTCAGCAGGTCGGCTATTCAGGACAACCAGTATTTCAGGGAAACTCAGAATCATGCAGGGCAGTGGGCTAAAATGGTCATTTGTAAACTACCTACAAATATTGAAAGATGAGATGCTTGGATGCAAAACATTTGCTTGGGACAATATTTTAGCAACCATATGCTGGGAGCTACAAAATAGAAGTAGTAGTAATAATATTTTATATTATTATAAAATAATAACTGGTATTTTGATTAAGCTAATCTGACATGGTAAGCACTATTACCTCATTTAATCATCACAATTCTATGAAAATAGCTAATACTTTTGAAGAGGAGAACACAAAAATTCAGAGTTTAAATAACTTTCCTAAGCTGATAGGTGACATGTCACTCTGCCCTGCCCACCAGACCCTGAGCATCACTGCAGCTCCAGCAAAACAGACCAGGCTCACCTAAGAGCAGACAGAAGTGTGATCAGCCTGCTCCAACCCTACTGCTCATAGCTGTCAGTGCCTGGCATCACTACAGAGCAAATTCCCTGGCCTGCTCTGTCTGTGCCATGGAGCCTGCCCTTTAAATTTGAGAAATTCTGTAATAAAGCAATATTTGTTATGTTGATTCTCTGGGGTCCTGCTCAAGCCTCAAGGCTCTTAATCTACACAAACCAGAGGTCTGGTCTGTGTAAGTGAGAAGATCTCCATAAGCAGCTTTCTTTCAGTACACAGTAAGGATGGTGTTGGAGAGCTGGGCTGGAGGTGGCAGTGAGGATGAAAGCCCTTCTCCTTTCCCCATCTAGGTGCTTACCCAACATTCTCCATGAGATAAGGAAAGAGGCAAGCCTGAGTGACCATTTTGGGAAGTAATGGACATTTGTAGTGTTCTTGAAATCCGACTTTTTAAGACCACAAGTTGACTTCCCATGTGTTCCTTCTAGAGAAGCCATGCAAAAATCTAAATAAGGTATAAAGGCAGTTGCCACTAGGAATAAATTTTCTTGAGCAGAGATGACTAGTAATTTTACAGGGAGAAAGTATTTTTTATCTTCAACTCCTTCAGTAGGAGCTCTGGGCTAGGCTGGTACAGCAGTTGAAAGAGGCAGTGGGCTGGCTTAGTGTTCATGAAATGCTCTGCAAGTGATGTCACTAAAATTGTCTTCAAAAGTCTGGCTCTCTGGAAGGCTCCAACAGGGAGGTAAGGGTAGAGTGGAAAATACACAAGAAATAGTTTTATTCTCTTTGAGATCAAGAGATTAGGTTCTTGTGACATTCTGCATATGGTATGTTAGATTTTAGTTTTTTTATCTATTTGAACTTTTTCTAAATCTATGTAGAGTAAGTATCATTATAAGTCCACTGGCAAAGCTACAGAGAAAGGCTGTGTGGTCACAGTTCCTGGATTCCTCTAGGAAGAAATTCAGTAAGCTTAGAATTCTGGGTGCTTAAATATTGTGCTCATGTGGAGACAAAGAAATTGGCTGGATAGAGGACCTCCAGGAGACTTCAGAGCACATGGCTTTATATGTCCAAGACATCAAGTTGGCAGTGGGACCAGTTTCCCTGGAAACTGGAACATTGGTCTGAGAACTAATTTCTCACTCCGATTTAGACCTTACGCAAATCTCCTAACCTCTCCAGAGCTACCTTCTTCACTAGTGAATTCAGGATTGATAATGATGACAATGAAAATGATGCTTCTCTTCCAAGAAAGCCATAATGTTTCAATAAATTAATTTATGTGGGGAAGTTCATCACCCCTAAAGCACTCTGCAAATGTAGAGTTTAAATGCTTCTGCATATTTGCAGCCATCTTGCCACAGTGACTAAGAGAATGCCCCATGCAAAGAACGTGCTCAATGCAGATGTATTAAAAATGTCATTTTTATTTTATATTTTAAAAGCAAGGTTAGTGTTCTGGAATGGTATATAAACATTTTTTAATTTAATTTTGTAATTATAGACCTCTGAATTTCTGATAAAACCATGGACTCTCTAAAAAAAGAACAAAAATAAATTATGTTAATATATACATCCAATAACATTTCACAAATACTTTCTGGTGGCTCATATCTCCTTTAACATCCACCACAACTTAAGAAAATGCCTATGTGAGAGATATGCAGGCTTCACCTTTCTGAGCAAAGAAATAGACAGTGTAGAAAATATTAGAGAGAACATCCCTGAGATTCTAATGTATTCAAATGGTGCTCTTGAAAAGGAAAAAATAATTTGTGCCTGATCACAACTAGTCTATTTAAATGAAAATGTACTCCAACTGAAAAGAAGAGGTCTGCCCCATATACGTGGCAGCACTCAGCTCACTGATGCTTTTATGAAGAAAGTTGCGGTCTGGTTACCTGAATCCTTCCATTTCCACAATGGGCTGCTATCTGGTGACAGCTGTGAGGTCTTGTTACTTTACAGTGAGGCATCTGCAGGGCGCTCAGATGCCTGCTCAAAACCCAGTTTAACCAGTATCTGTGAGCCAACTGCCAATGGCCCTGGCTTTGTGCATACAGGCCCAGCTACAGCAACTGGATTCTACCTCAAGTAGCACACTGTTTTTGGCTGAGTGTGTTTGGCTGTGTCCTTGCAAAGCAGGATTTCATCTGGATACAGGAATTCAGGATCAGGGCTAGCTCAGCAGAATTGGAAAGGTAAAATTTCACAGCAAGATCAGATCAAGCCAAAATCACATCCAGAAATGGAAAATGAAAAGGAAAGGAAATAGTTGAGTGGGAAAAGAATTGTCTTGCTTTCCCCATCCAGCCAGGGCCTTTGAAAGAATAGCACAGAAGGTATTTGCACCAAATGGTGCTTAGAACTAGCCAGGGTGTTTGCTTTTAAGTTGACAGGACACTCACTGTCTCTTCTCCTCAGGTAGTTTATGGCATCTTGGTTATTGGGTATAAATGTATCCCTCCCCACACATAAGAGATGTCCTTGTTTTCTGCCTGACTGAGCCCACACTTGCTATTGGGATTCCAGAGATCAGAGCCCTCCTGGAAGGCAGATGGCCTCTGCAGGCCTGCATGTTGGCTTCTCCACCCCCAGCTAGATCAAGTGGCACAGTGCAGGCAGCTGGAAGGTACTCTCGGAGAGAAATCGAGCACCATGTTCAGAAAGCTCCACTCCATCTTTAACTCCAGCCAGCAAAGGAAAGCAGAGGTGGCTGAGGGTTCCTACTACAGTGGAGCCAGCCCCACAGTGCAGCTGATCCACAGCAGCTCCATGTATGTGGTGGGGGACTACGGGGAGAAATTCAGTGAGTCCTTAAATAAATACAAAAGCACCAGCAGCATGGACACAAGCCTGTACTACCTGCAGCAGGAGGGAGACCGGGTATGGATGTTTTCACGCACTCAGGACTGTCTACAATACCTACAGGAGCTTCTGGCCCTGCGGAAAAAGTACCTGAGCAGCCTCAATGACTTGAAGGCCAAGCCCACCCAGGGTTTCTCCATCACCTCTTCCAAATCATCCAAGGGAGAAAAAAAGGCCCGAGGCCAGTCCACCACCAAAGAAATAAAGGTAAGTTCCATGGAGAAGCACAATTGAGATGGGAGTTGTTCCAAGAGCCTTTGATGCCTCATTGAAACCTAGCTCATCCCTGAACAGCTTAGTTAATGTGCATGTTCTAAGCAATGGCTCAGTTGTCCTCACTCTCCATTGCTATCTGTCAGCCTGGGAAGAGTGATTAGTCCCATGCTGATTTTCTAGGTTGAAGCAATGGGAAGGCCAGGTTCATGATCCCAGAGAAGCCTGGCGGGGGGGAGGGAGGGGTACAGTATCAGGCAGCACTGTTATTGTATGGTGCATCTATTTTAATTTAATGCCCATTTCATGGATGCGATCATGCTTGTTTGATGTTTGGGTGACAGCAAAATCATTTCTCAACAAATTATTGCTGTTATTTTTTATAATTGCAATCACATCTAAAAATCCCAGTAAAAGTGAAATCTTCATGTGAACAAGATGTTTTCAAATATCTGGCTGCTTAGCCCCATGTGAATCAAATAACTGGAGGCTTTGCTCCATCAGGACCCTGGACCCTGATATTTTGGAGACTTAGGCACAGCCACAGAGAGTTTATACCTTGACAGAGATTGCACAACAGATTTGCTGGCATTGGAAGCTTCAAGCCAAGGGAGACTTAACAGGAAATTAGCAAAGTAAATAACTTGAATTTATCTGATCATTTTTACCCATTGCAGTGTTTGTGTACAGTACCTTTCTTTGAGCATTTTAATGATATCGGAAAAGAAGTGGGGAATGGCTCCCTCTGTATCACAGAATCGCAAGCTGAGGCCCAGTGACCTGATTCAGACAGCACCCCTAATTCAGTCAGTTACTCATTTCTATATTTACTCAATATTTTTAATGCCTGAGGTTTGAGGTTGTTTTTTTTTAATATATTTCCATCAATCATTTTCCTGATGACAGGACTCTAAAGTGTTCAAAAAAGGCCTGTCTCTCACATTCTGGCTGTCTTCCCAGAGGATTCCTCGGGCCATGCAAGCCCGATTAACTTTGAATGACTGACTGACCTACTATCAAATCTCCAGGGCTTGGCCTTATCCAACTCGTTTCAATTCTTGGCATTCCCTCCCAAGTGAGGGCAGTTTAAGTAATCAATTTACCTCCAAAAGTGTGTCATGTTGGGGCCTATACAAAGGGTCCTACTCTTAAGTACCAGTACTGACCCTGGGCCAGCTAACTGTAGATTTGTGAGTCAGTCACCCCTCTTTTGGGTCCACTTCTGATAATGAGGAGGCAGCAGTGGCTTCTGGACTCCCTTCCAGCTTGAGTTTCCTGTGTTCCAGGCTCTGGTTAGATTCCCTCTAAGCACTACATTTTCCTGAAAAAAATGGAGTCTCTTTTGTAAAACTGAGCTTCCTTCTTCTATGCTCCCTTCTTAGTTCAGTTGTCTAAAGACAGACAGGGTTAGAGCCAGAACAAAGAGATCTGGCTGAGTAGGAATGGCCATGAAGAGGGTTACAGACACAATGCAGTGTAAGAGTTTCTTCTCACCATGGTATAACTGGAAAAGAGTTTCAAAAGGACTTCAAAGTCAGTCAGAACAAGATCCACATTTTAACTCTTTATTTATAAACAAAAACTTTGTGCCTTTGTCAGACTAAGTTTACTTCTCTGGTCTTTTATTTTTGTATCATATAAATGGAAATAAGAATCTACCTTGTGAGAAGAAAGCAAGATCCTGCCTGTGGTAGGACCTGGTACATATAGGTAGTCCAGTGTTTGCTGACAGTGAAATGTAAGATGCAGCCTTTAGACAAGAATCTCTCCTTCATCACTTCAAAAGAAAGAGCTGTATGCTGAATGTAGCCTGAGAAACATTGGGCACAGGCTCTATATCTTCAAAAGGACAGTCTGGCAAGGTGGCTTGTGCCTGCCTGACTGTCTGAGCACAGAAGGGGCAGGGAAACAGGAGAGTTCCTTCCTTCTGGAATGTTATCACCTTTCTGCATTGGTATAAAATGATGTTTAGTGCTAACAATATATTTTTTTCTTGACCTCCTCTTATATGCTGAATTGTGTCTCCCCAAAATCAAATGTTTAAGTTCTAACATCCACTACATCAGAAGGTATCCTTATTTGGAAAAAGGGTGATTAGAGATGTATTTAGAGAGTTAGGATGATTGCAAATTATTAGTGTTTGCCCCTAATCCAACATCACTGGTGGCCTTATAAAAGGGTACACTAGGACCCACGCACATTCACAAGGGAAAATGCTATGCGAAGATTGTATTTATGCTGCCACAAGCCAAGGAACTACCATAAGCTGGAGAGGGGACTAGAACATCCTTCCCTAGTACTGTCAAAGGCAGTATGGTCCTGCTGACACTCTGATCTCTGATCTGACTTCTGACCTTTAGAACTGTGACAGAATAAATTTCTGTTGGTCTAAGCTGCCCAGTTTGTGGTATTTTGAAATAGCAGCCATAGGAAATGAATACGCCCCTCTGTAGAATCAGCTTTGGTTCTTCTCAAACATTAGTCTAAACGCATCTTTATTCTACCATTTGTCACATCCTATTGTGGTTGTTAGCATGTGCATCTCCCTTGGTGGACTGCAGTGAGCTTGGTGAGTCTGATGAAGCTGAAACAGTATCTTTATCATTTTCTGACCCCCAAAGCATTACAATGACTATGGTCACTTATGAATGCTTTATAAATGTAAAAGTCTGCTGTTTTTTATGCTGTAGAGCATGGGAGAGCTGGCCTTCATGTAGAGAGTGAACAATGTTCCCTGTAGTTCTGGACACTATGGCAAGCCCTCTCTCCCTCCCCACAAATACCAGCTACAAAACCCAAGTTTCCCTGTTTCTTTTTGGTGGAAAAGATAATGACTTTGAACCTTTTTAAAAGTGGTGGAGGGTGGAAGAGGGCAAATGGGGATAAAATGTAATGGAGAAAGATTTAGGGTGGTAAACACACAATACAACATACAGATGATATATTGTATAATTGTATACCTGAAAACTATATAATTTTTATTAACCAATGTCATCCCAATAATTCATTAAAAAGTAAGTTAAAACAAATTAAAAATAAACTTTTGGTTAAAATTCTCGGTAAGAAATAGATTTTATATATTAACCCAGTTTACAGAAACATATAACCAAAACAGAAGTTCTCTCTTTGGTACTCTAATATTTTTCAAAAAATATTCTGTTTTTTGTTTTAGTTGTTATACCTTACAGCTTTAAGGCCTTAAATTTATGTATGTATGTATGTATGTATGTATGTATGTATTTATTTATATTGTTGTTCAAATACAGTTGTCTCCATGTTTGGTCATGACACACTAAATTGATCTCATAAACCACTACTAGGTCAAGACCCATAGTTTCTCATATCCTCAAGTAAGGCATTAGAATAGGTCCAAATGAAATGTTAATATGTACTAAGGCATGATGCACTAGGATGACAAATGGTATGTTACCCTAGCACTCCAGAGATGCTGATAACCTGGAAGAGCACCTACATGGGATGATGGAAAGAGGAAGTGAGGTGAGCCTGGATTGGATGTGAGAAGACCCCTGGGCCCTGTATGGTGGGTCCTGGCCAGGCCCTGTGACAATTTGCTTCTCCATCAGAATAATGGGTTATTATAAAAACAAATAAAAACAAGCTTTTTGTAACATTTTAAAATCAAAACAAACAAAAATTTCATATTTGAAGAGGTTTGTATTTGTCAGTGTTGGACATGAGCTATAATTTGGGACTCATTGTTTGGATGACCAAATGTTATAATTTCTGACACAGTAAAAAATTCATGTGGAAGAAAGATGATATATTTGAAATGATCCTGTCCTAGAACATATAGTTTCTGAACCTATAGGGAAAAGTAACCTGATTCCCTTGCCCTGAGCACCTGGGGTGTTTCTTCCATCAAAAAGGAATGGTGGGTCTCTTTCACACTTATCTCCTCCCGCCCCTGAGCTGCAGCCCAGGCACAACGAGGAACAATCAATAGTTATTCCTGACTTCTAATCATTTTCCAAACCAATGTATTGACTATTAACCCCACACTAGAGATTAAAAAAAAGCTGGGGCTCAAAAATATTAAGTGATGTATGTAAAGCTATGCACCTGATGAAGAGAGAATCAGTCTCTATCATGCCAGAACTCATACTCTTCTTGTTCATGGTACCTTTCAATTGGACAATATATTCTGAGCTTGTATAATATATCAGATGTGGTAGTGTGCAACTCAGGCTGCTCTATCCTGCATATCTGGGCCAGGGAGAGTCATTCTACCCTGCATGGATTCTGTGGTTGGGTTAAGCTCCCACATGAGGTTGCGTGGCTTGGGCTCTCCTTGTCCAAAACAAACCTGAACCAGAAGCATGACTGGAAGACTCTCTCCTCTCCACAGTTCTTGAGTAAAAATTCCCTATGTCTTGACACTTTCTCTTCACATGGCTAACTCAGATTCCACTTTTACTCTTGGTATCCTTAGAATTTAAATATTGAGTTTCCACTACCTACTTTTGCATTAGGAAAAAAGCTAGGTAGTGAATGGTGTGAGCACTGCTGCAATAGAAACTTGGTAATGAGTGGGTATTGTGTCCTCAAATCATTTCAACAGAAATATTTTTTTATACTTCCCAATTCATTCTACAGAATATCTGAGTGAATCATACACTAGCAGAATAAGGTAGCAACAGATGTTGGAAAACAAGAGAAAAACCATCAACAGAAAATTAAAAGAATATGCAGGTCATGCCACTAATTCAGCTGCTATAGATGAGTTTAGATTTGGCTCTGCACTTTCTGGAAGCTACAATAAAAATAGAGCTGGGCTTGTTTCAACATTTTGATCTGACACAAAGAACCATAACCATTGCTTAAGGAAAGTAATATTTTCCCCAGTTTTAAAATTTAAAATTTCTCTTATGAAACTTGATGCAGAGAACCATGCATTATGTGGCTGGTAATTTCCTTAATAATATTTTAATAACAATACATCATTAATTCATTCTTTGTTCACTAGCATATTTATT